GCTATAAAAGATGAAGCGCACAGGTTTAAGCTTTGTGTTATTCCAATACATCTTGCTTTCCATTGCTAACAAAGTATGCTTGTCGTTGCCCACACGTGCAGGTTCGCATTATCTTTGAACAGCTGGCAGGTTAAACAGGCATGTCAGACTGTCTTTGAATAAACCTCAGTCTTATAACCTTGTTAAACTGTGTCTGCAGTTTAAACCCAGAGTGGCTCAGATTGAAACTAAGGTGCACGCGAGAGTGCAGGGGTATGGTTCAGGAAACGGTTCAGGAGGTGCAATTAAACACATCTGCTCGATCACTGCACTCAAGGCACTGGCAACTAACCTTTTCTGCCGGGCAGATGGATGTTTAATGACCCAGACACAGGCCGCTAACTCGATTAAGTAGGTGACAGAGGTTAAAGACACCCCTCACCATCCACCACTGTTTCCAGCTGCTCCCGGAGTGGCTGGAAACAGCAGGGAGAACGCTTCTGTCAACAGCTGCAAGTGCAGTCAACCATATTACGGAGTCTCAGCATCCTATGCAGCATACTGCTTTTTCTAAATTAGCAAGGACAGAGTGGTGGGAGGACCATCCACTACCAAAGACATATTAAAGTTCTATGCAGACATTTGATTTCAGCTTCTCTGCAGGGGCGGCACCAGGAAGTTTTCAGTAAAGTGAAAATAATATATGGATAAGAGTGATTTGAAATCGCAAACTAACCTAGATAATTCTCCTTGCTGACAATTACAGTGAACAACACTTTTTAAAAAATGGACTAAATGTTCTTTGTGCAATCTAATGTCCCCTGTTGGTTTAAGGTATTTCCTGTTGGTTTCTCTTGTCAGGCCTAGAGAATATCGTCATAGCAACAAAGACAGTACCCCCCCCTTCAGTTTGAGATTTTCAGATTGCTTTTTGAGATTGCTTATACAGTTCTCTTAAGTTCCTGCAAGGGTAATCCAGCACTTTAGGAAAAAAAATGCAGTCATTCTGCCGCTTTGTTGCTGGGCTCAATATTATTGCGTTTGGTTTCAAGTAGATGGTTTACTCAGACTGCAAAGTCCTTAAATTCTGTGGCTGCAAAAAAAGCCCAAAGCATCGCCCATCAACCACTGTACTTGACAGTTTTTTTGAGGTGTTTGTTCTTATATGCTGTTATTTTCACCAAACATGGCGCTGTGCATTATGGCCAATCTATACCACTGTTCAAAAGATTTTTTGCCAAAGTCTCGTGGTTTGGTTAGATGAGACTTGGCTGTGCTGCCATGTTCTTTTTAGAGAGAAAAGGTGTGCTCCTGCAAATTCTTTAAAACAAGCCACACTTTCTAATAGTAATGTCATGAAATTTGGGTGACACCTAACTCTTGGGTTTGTTTTTTAATTTCTATTTTTCCTTTCCACAGTTTCTCAGTGTTGCACTGCATTGAATGTTCACATTCAATACATTTGCTAAATTGCCAGCACCTGGTTGCCTCTTACCCTGTAAATTCTTATGGAAGCAAGAGGTATACTTAGTCTTAAATTTTAAAAAAATGACACTGTGTAATACGTCACGTGTTGCGGTTCATCCAACCACAAGACCTATGGATCAGATTATTGTTACACAACATCTGTTATGTAAAACCTTAATACTTCTTTTTACCTTGACTGTACATATCTTTTATACCGTCCATTGTTATGAACAATATCTATGATTTATTGTTCTCCTAAGCTGCTATACAGTGAGTAATAATAGATTGCAACAACATCTGCCAGAATTTGGGTATTGGAGACAGAATATAGTCTATATATAATAATTAATAGCTAACGGTCTAAGACATTTAGGATAAAGTCTGTGCTCACTTCAAAATATTTTTCTGTGGCAAAACTCCACAAATTCTCTTTCCTTTGGAGATTTATGTGCCTTTAAGCAAACGTTTGACTACAACATACATAACTCAGAGAGAAATACCCAGACAAAGCTTGCACTGCATTCAATACAAAATAGTTGTGGTTTATTCTTTTGGGAACAAAAAATGGCAACAACTAAGTGTCACTTCTCATATTCAGCGATATCTACAGGAAAGAAACAACAATGGTTCCTTCTATCAATTACCATTTTTCACCAGGTTAAAATGATAACTTCAAAAATGTATTTCATATGGTTTTACCTTGGTGTGCATGTGTTTCACATTATGTCTATTCTGAACATTAAAACGTGTTCATTTCAATTTCATTTCCCTTCAGTCTTCATGCCTGCAAAGAATTTCTCTGTTGAAAATGCTTTTGTTTAAACACAGCTTCAAAAGCACTGGTGTCTGTACAAATTCCTATGAAAAAAAAATAGAAATAACATTTTTGAGGGAAAAAAAATACCTCTCATAAAATAACATCGACACGCCTTATCGGACTCTAATGTAACCATTTCTTAACCTCCCTTTGTTGTCTTCTAGTAGGTTTGTCTGTCTACACCTTAGACATCATTTTCTCTCAAGGGCTACAAAGAGATCCAGACACAAAACAAATTTCCCCAAGAATGACATCCAGTTGTGCGTTGCTATTTTCTGTATCCTTTTTAAACTGGTTTTCTCCACTAATTAAAAAACAAACAAAAAAAACAAAACAAAACAAATGAAAAGAGATGCAGATGAAGTTTGAAGAGTTCTACATGGGAGATCATGTGTTGGTTTTTTTTGTCACTTGCTGATAAATCTTTTTAAAGGGTACTTGTTCTTGGTGGTCCAGCTGGGTCTCTAGTCCAAGAAGCTTGCGTCAATGTGTGCTTGCCTACAGTATTTCTACTTTACTGCTGGTAAGGGTTGACACGGGGGTGACCTGTGAATTTAGTGCAATGTTTTCCCCACTTTCTTTGGGAAAATTTGATGATTTTAGGCCCATATCTGCTGTTGCTGCTTCTTTTTTGTTTTTTTGACTAGCCCTTGGTTGTCTTTCTTGGGGTCTTCTAGTTTGAAAGGCCCATTTCATCTTCTTTAGTCCCTCACAGGCCCACGTGTCCTGTAGTCTTTGGGCTTCTCTCACGGCTCTACTCCAAACACTAAGAACAGAGCAAAAAAAGAAGCCATGTGATAAAATAGACACTTAAAAGACCTTATCTGCAATAGTCCTTCAAGCCTCCAAGTTTCAAAAACGGTTGGCTCTTGTTGGGTTCATGTGTCCAGTTCTTCCTCCTGAACAGATTTCAAAGTAGGAACTACCAAGGATTTTGGATTTATTCACGGAAAAGAAACCTCACTAAACCAGAGCCGAGGAGAAAGGAGAGGGTGCTGTGGGTTTTTCTTTTTCCTTTGTAAACAACAAAACATCCACTTAACAATCCCACTTCTCCCTCTCGTCCATCTCTTCCTCCTCCTTCCCTCCATCTTTAGAAGAGACTAAATACAGCAGGTTCTGGATGGGGCAGAAGGGGGAGATTTGGGGAGAGGCTGTAGGTAGTGTAGTAGGTAACAGCAAGGGGGAAAGGTTGTCCCTGTGTGTTTGAGGGTTGGGGGGGGATCTGTGTGTTTTTGTGAGTGCATGTATGTGCAAAGGTGTGAGTTTGTATGAGTGTGTGTGGATGCCTTCCTGTGGGACTGTTAGGACTGTTTGAGGCGTTTGCGTGGGGGTCCGAGGAAAGGGCACTGAGCAGAAGCCAGGGAGCGATACGCTTCAGCCACCAGGTGCGGATGAGACGCCACCATGGACTTCCAGCCTGCTGTCTCCATCACCTCTGCAGCATGGCTGGTGGATGAGATGAGAAAGGAAGAAAATAAAAAAGATTACAAATCAAGTTTTCCTTAAGTAAACACATGCATAACAAATGTACAGACAGGCAACCTGGAAATCCTAAATAATGGCAGATTGTTTGGATCCAATTTTCCTGTGAATAGTACAGACTGCGTGAAACCATTTTACAGGTGTTATACTTCTGCCAAGGTCCGCTTGAGGCTGATTGACTGAAGTTTCCCTGTCAGATGGTGAACGTGGCTTTGCCAATTTTTAGTTATCATGCAGACTTTGTGGAAAATTTACACAACAATGCTCCAATTACTCCAATTACTGTGCCTTCAGACTTCAAAGAATGATAACAGGAATGACTGCTGGGCTGTGGTGACTCCAGCTGCTGGTTTACAATAGTGCTCAAAAGATACAAAACCTCCATTTCCAGTTAAATGTTTATCCTTAAAGTAGGAGCCAGAATCAGGAGTTCAACTAAAGCTTAAGGGAGAGTTGGAAGCCTAAACCGGTGTAATCCCACATCATGACTGAGATTATAGTGGCAATTTTTTTTCTAATATACTTTTTATTCATTATTACCTGAAAGTAGTGAGAGCACAAAGTCATCAGTGAAGTGTTCACAGAGGTCACAGATCAAGGGAAGCGATGGGCATTTTCCCAACAGACTGTTACACTTTCAGTTAAAGGTAAACATAGTGTAAACGTAATGGTAATTGTATGATTTTTAATGATTTCGTTCTCATCTTTTATGCCTAAAAAAACCCCCCAAAAACAAACAAAAAAACAAAACAAAGAGATGGGTGCACAAATTTTAATTTTGGATTTTTCTAATCCACACAGGGTGAAAATAACACATACAGCCTCAAATATATACATACCTTCTACTAATATTTGGTTAAATGTCCCTTAGCAAGTTGCACCTTTTGGTAACCATCAACAAACTTCTGGCATGATCCAGCCTGAATCGTCTTGGCAGAGTAGTTTCATGGCATAAACCCAGCTCTTAAGCTTAGCTCACAAATTTTCAACAGGGTTGAGGTCGGAGCTTTGGGAACACCATTACATAGGCTTGTGGAAACATCTGGCCACACCTGTACATACAGA